CCAAGTATTCGTAGTGCCCACTAGTGGTGGAAAAGGCAGTTTTCCACTCATCACCTTCTCGAATGCGAATCAGATTGTATAAGCGTTGCGTAAGTCAAGTTTGGTATAGTACTTGGCCTGGCGGAGTTGTTCTAAGGCTGTTGGAACAAGAGGCAGTGGATAACGATATTTGACTGTGATATCATTCAATCCTCGATAATCAATGCAGGGTCTGAGTCCTCCATCTTTCTTGTTCACGAAGATAAACCCGGTAGCTGCTGGTGAGGTGGAGGGTTGAATGAAGCCCTTAGCAAGTTCCTTTTCTATATATTTTTTCATAGCTTCAGATTATGGTTTTGATAAGGAGAAAATTCTTTCTCTTGGGGGAGTAGCACCGGGGATCAAGTCTATGGCACAGTCAGTTGAACGATGTTCAGGGAGTTGTGCAACTTTCTCCTTGCTGAAGGCTTCAACCAGATCCGCATAAACAGAAGGTAAATTTTCAAGCTCCGGTACTGTAGTACAGGCCGACTCTCTCTCCAGGAGATGTGAGGGTTATGGGTTTGAAGCCATGGATGACCCAGAATGATGGAGTGATGTGGAGCGTGAATGACATAAAACTGAATGTTTTCGGAATGAAGAGATCCTATGTGCATCTTAATTTTCTCCGTCACACATTGGATTCTCCCCTCTCCGATACAGTGTCCATCTAGCGCCTCCACTGTTAGGGAAGAATGACAAGGATTCAGCTGGATGTTACACTGTTCGACAACCGGAGTCTATGAAGGCTGTAGTTTCAATGACTTTATCTTGAATGGTTAAACGGACTGGAATAGTGAGACTGTTAGTAGAAACTTTCCCTTTATCTTGAGAATTCACGGACGGTTTCTGAGTGGAAGGTCGGACAGGACAGGAGAGCTTCATGTGTCCGGCTTGACCGCAGTACATGCACAATCGATTCTGGAATCTACGTTCTCGTTCTTCGGGAGTGATATGTGTGAATCCAAGTTGCATGGGTTCGTGATTGGTTGCTGCCTTGAATAAGTTACGGATTGGTGCCCGGAGATTGCGTCTGGATCGCATCAGATTGTCGACTTTAATGGCCAGAGCGATATAATCGTTTAAATTCCTCCCCTCATCGCGACAGGCTAACTCGGACTGAAGCTCAGTGGTAAGTCCTCTCCTGAAGAGCATTTTCAAAGTATCCTCTTCCCAGTTTGTTTGTGCAGCGAGCGTGAGAAAAGTGAGGGCATAATCAGCAGTGGTTTCTTTTCCCTGTGTGAGATTTAAGAGCTGTTCACCTGCTTCTCCCTCTCCGGTGGTATGCTCAAAAACTTGACGAAACTGCTGAGTGAATTCTTGAAATGTGATGAATGTATTTCCCTCTGGTCTCCAGATAGCCGTAGCCCACTCTAGTGCTCTGCCGGTGAGTAGCGAACACACAAAAGCAATGCGACTCCCATGACTGGAGTATAGTGCAGGTCGTTGTTCAACGAAGATCGTGCATTGTAACAGGAATCCTTTGCATTTGGTTGGTGTACCATCGAATTTGTCAGGAAATGCGAGTCGTGGATTGACTGCGGTACTCACAGTTTCAGGAGGAGCTTTCGGTAAAGGAGGTGGAGCGGGCGTGTTTGGTACGACGCCGATGGTGGTGCGAAGCTCCAGCATCCCCTGTACAAGTTGTTCTGTGAGAGTAGTCAGGTGACTGAGCTGTTGATGGTGTAGATCCAAACGAGAAGCTTGGGTTGTGAGTTCGGTGGTTAACTGCATGACCGCTGCTGGATTGGTTGACGGCAAAGTCTTCTGTAATGAACCACAGGGAACAGAGGAATCCATTTGCAGCTTTTATTAAACAGAGTCGTACAGGCAGGGTCGAGACGAGACAGACAGAGCAATGCAGACAAGGCAACAGGATAAACAAGGAAACAGGCAGAGATCAGGGCAGGCAGCAATAATCGTAATCAGGAGACAGTCCGAGTTCAGGCCAGGCAGAGATCAATCGTAGAATAGTCAAACAGTCCAAAGTCCAAAACCAGAAAACCAGAATCAGGGAAAAAACGCTCAGAAATGATCACCGGGGCAAATCAAGACTTCGCACTGGTGTGGTGTGTGAAGGTGTCTTTTATGGGTGTGTGTAAATGCAGTGCAGGTGTGAGGCGCAATCAGTCCCAGGTATGAGGCATGATGGGAATTTGAGTTCAAGGCCAATAGTTAATATTCCAGGGAAGGCTTCCTCTGGTGGCGGAGAGGAGGCGGAGCGGGAGCCTCCACTGTAACATAACGTTACATTTGGACAAAACCTGTCAGATATAAATATTATTATGTTCTTGGTTAAGTTATTTATTTATTATTTTGGAACAAACGAGGGTCTCACGAGGGCCAACTCGCAGCTTCAGGTTCAGTTGCGTTTGAGAACCGTCGCGCATATCTTGAAATTTAGCCTAACCGAACGCCCAGTTTAACTGCTAAGTTAAATCATCTTGTAATAAAGATCTAATCTAGGAAAAACACGCTGTATTTTTTGTATTTTCATCGCATTTTTAATTTATAAAAAGTTAAATAAATAATAAATTTGAATATAAAAATATTAATGATTAATCGATAGTCGATCGTTAATTCTTCCGACAATCGACTAAGAAAATTTAATCGAATGCCCATCCCTAGTGGATACTCAGCTCTTGTTTGTCTGACTTCCATTGCCTTGCGATTCCATCTGGATACCAACCAGTCGGGTAATTTCAGTAGGATTTTTTGACTCTCATTGCAGTCGTTGAGAACTTCCAATGTTCTAATGTAGGGCATTGGTGGTTCACAGCTCCTAAGAAAGTCTGCAAATTCCCTTAGCTCACAACCATCCTTAGAGCTTATTTTTGGCCATGCATGCAGCTTGTTTCTGAAGGACTTCCCAATCACAAAAGGGTCTGCGAAACGTTTTTCCAGCAGCTGCCAGGCTGAGTCATATGCTGATTCCGTTCCTAGTAGGACAAATCCTTCTACAGCTTTCTTTGCAGCAGCACCTAGGTACTTTCTAAGGTAGTACAGTTTTTAGTTCTTTGGAATGTTTTTCCTATTGATTAGCGCATCAAAGGATAATTGCCAATCTTTGAATTTCAAAGGATCTCCAGTGAATAACGAGGGCTCTGGAGTTGGAAGACGATTAGCACTTATAGCTTCTGCTAGCACGCTGACCAAATCAGAGCTGTTCTGCACTTGAGGTATGGGCGCTAAAGTTGGTGGGGCTTGAGATACCAGTTGAATGCTTTGTGGAAGGGCTTGCATTGTAGCTGGTAGAGATGGAGGAATGAATAGGTGACTTGAAGCATTGAGAGTTTGTGATACAACTGGTAGAGATGGAGGGATGAATGGGGGACTTGAAGCATTGAGAGTTTGTGATGCGACTGGTAGAGATGGAGGGATGAATGGGGGATTTGAAGCATTGAGAGTTTGTGATGCAACTGGTAGAGATGGAGGGATGAATGGGGGACTTGAAGCATTGAGAGTTTCAGGTTCTCCTGCTGGTGTAACAGTATGTAGCAAGTCAGTCGCTTCGAAATTTTCTTCGATTTGGTTGTAGACCTTTACTCGAGCTCTTGCAGCATTAAATTTCTTCACTTCTTCAAGACGTTCAAGTTTTCTACCCTGCTCTTGCATTGCTTGCTGTCTAGCTAGGTTCTCAGACTCAAACTGTGCCAGTCGTTGCTTATCTTCAACCTCTAACCTTTGAAGTTCTGTCATTTCCCTTTCTTGTTCATCCAACACTGCTAAAACCTCCTGTGATGCAGCAGCTTCGGCAGCAGCCTCATGTTTTTAAAGTGAGTGGAAGCTAGAGTTGACAGAACCACATTTCGATCGGTGTGACAGTGGTCTTGATGGAGAATATGCAGAATTCAGGATCGATCCAACATCAGGCCAGGGATCTTCTGTTGTGATGCCTTCAAAATGCCTTTCTGCCTTTTGAATGATAAATCCCGACAACGATATACACGTGTCTACTCTACGTCGCAGTTCTGCTTCAGGAGCTTGGACTCGACGTAACTCTTCGTAAACCGTCTTTACCTCGGAACACGTAGCTTTCATGTTCTCTGTTAGCTTAAACAATTCTTCTTCGGAGGCTTCATCATTCAGTATTTCTTTGCTTGTTCTTGCGTGATACCTCCACTTCTCAGAGTATTCTATACCGACGTTGTATGCTCTTTAGCTTTTCTTCTTCGAATTCTTTCCCCTTTTCTGTTAGGGTTCGGGTTCTTTCACTTCTTCGTAGCCTTTCTACATCTTCTGTAGCTCCATTGGCTATAGCTTCGGCTTGAGCAGGTGATTTAGCGTTTTCATGACAGGTCTCAGGACTTGAGTTTGACATTTTGGGCTGTGTGTATGTGTAAGCTACTGTAAGCTAAGTGTGAGTAGCTAGGAAGTTTTTTAGTAATTATGTGAATCTTAACAGATGTGTGAATACTGTGAGCGAAGTCTAACTCTAAATACTTAAACGTTGTACCACAAACTGTGTCAGTATTTGAACTTATTTAGACTTCAAGTTAGCTTAAACTAGGAATTAGTTTGGCAAAAATATAAATATAAAACTTAATTGTGAGAAAATGTACTCAAAATGTATTAAATCACTTATTCTTCCAAAAAGAAATGTTTCTATACACGTGTAATTTCCCTTTAAGCTTCACTTAAATTGCACTTAAAGCTTGATTATATCTCACAACCACAAAAATGTTAGTTTCAGTCTTAATAATAATGACGTGACGCTTGCTTTTTCTGTCCGACTGAACTTTTTACCAATTAATAAACATTAAAATTAATAAAATTATAACATGTATGTCTACCACCTCCCTTATACATATGCCCACTCTTATTTCTCTAAAAATAATTGGTTTATTGGCATTTTCTGCCACCTGAAGTGTGAAAACATCATGTGGGGCGACCGTCCGGCCTTGACTTCTGTTTGGACAACTGGTTTTAAATCAAACTAAAATAATTTAAATATAATCTTTACCCTATTTGGCATAATTTTAAACTTGTTTTCCATTGATTGACAAAGTTATGAAACATTTGTACACACATTTCAATCATAATAAACAAACAAATCTTGTCCGAAGATGTTCATTATCTGAAATATCATCTGGGGCGACCATCAAGAAAATACAAATAAGGGACTTATATTCTGATAATCATCTCAAAGAGGATGTTGCATCAGCCAGCCTCATGGTGAGGGTCCCACAGAGACAACTAGCAGGTGAGTAGCCACTCTCATTTTTACAAACAAATCCTCTTTAAAACTGCTGCAGTGTATACGTCACATTTTGATATCATGTGGGGCGACCAACCTAAAACTGTAAATTATAAGTTTTATACGCAAATCTTTATTTTTAAATTTGTAAATTGTAAATTTGTCAGTGATATGTGGTTAGAAGAAGCTAACTTGGGCTCTATAGCTAAGCATTAGCCTGTTATACTTGATTAAACTTGAAAATATCATCTGGGGCGACCAAGCATCATGTGGGGCGACCGCCACTGATTGCTTAAATGATAGAAAACACATATCATGTATTTGTAGTTTCTGTATGCAAATGTTTACATTCATTATATGCATTTAGTTGTTTTAAATAACTTTCTAAATTTCACCACATATTTTTTCTAAATTTCAATAATTTCCCTCCTACTTCAGAAAGGACTAAGCTTACTTCTTTTTGATTATTATGTTTTTTATCAAAGAAATGTGTGAATATTAAGCATTCATTCTACTTTTTCCAATTCTTTTTCTAACTCTGTGTATGTTTAAATATACTTTTTTTTCTAGATGGCCCCACTAACAAGCAAAGAAAAGACTGCTCGCTACAGGCAGCGGAAAATGCTGTTCAATGTGTCTGCAGAATGCTGCTATGTTCAACTGTTAAATAAAAATAGTAATGAAAATGCAAACATTGTATGTTTAAGTGATTAATGGAATGAAAATGAAAAAGGAAAATGCTGTTCAATGTTATGTCCAAGCGTTTAATGCATTAGTATTGAACATTTTAATATGATGGTTTTGTGTCAAATGAAATAGTGAGGAAACTGTTAATGTTATGAAATGTGTCAAATGAAATGGATATGCTGATTCTTCATAAAATTTCATTAAATATGCTGATTCTTCATAAAATTCCATTAAATGTGTTTTAACTATCAAAATCATTGAATAGTCTTAATTGCCTGCTGTTTTTCATCATGTGGGGCGACCATTTGTCATGTGGGGTAACCAACTATATTCAATTCTGCAGTAAATTCAAAAAATAATGTCTGTCCATTTTGGTTGAAATATAATTCATTGGTATAACATCAATAAGTGGATACTATATCTACACATTTTAAATCAGTTTTATGGATTATATGAGTAAAAAAAATATGTAACTGCTTTATGAGGGTGACACTGCCATTATAGATAAAAATGTATTTAACATCATTTGCAATAAATGAAAGGACACATGAGTATATCTTTCTTAAACAGTTCAATTCATTACTGATACTTCTTAAAATATAACTTATGCAAAGGAAATCTATTAATTATAAGATAAATTACGGTCGCCCCAAATGACTTTTTTAAGGTCATTGCCCTATTCATTTGAGTTTAAAAGCACTAAAATATCTTTGTTTGAAGTTTTCACACACATGCATGTGTAGACTACACTCCACATGTTTAGAAAATAGACAAATATATTATTATTTCAAGTATTTTAAAAATGGGCCTCTCAAAGGCCTTATACGTCATTGACCAATATATTTTTGCCTCTAAGCATAATATATTTTACATATATATTTTATATATATATGCAAAATATATTATGCTGGTGTTTGATTGATGTTCAACACTTATATACATACTTATAATTTATACATATTATAACACAGTATGCAGGATAAATAGACTGTCCTTGATGCAATCTTCAAGTTGAATCACTTCTCATGCCACCTATAGCTTCCTTGTAGCAGAGCACTTCTTGATTATAGCTTGAAATGTTGCACTTTCAAAGTCTATTCACTGTTGCTTGCGATCGTTATAACAACGATAGGTTATGGGCTTTGATTATCTGATACGCTAGCTCTTCATCCGGTCGACGCCCACGGCCGCGACGGTCTTGTTAACTCTTCTACCCGCACCGTCGAGCAGTCGAGTTCTCACTGTAGCTCTCTTCACAACAATCACAGACACAGGTCGGTTCCTTAAAACGGGCATTTATTCTTTGGCTCATCTTGGTTACGCCGTGAGAACTGCATTTATAAATGAACGTAGTACAAACACATCAGTCTGTAATACAATGCTGTCTTAAAAGAAACGAGATGCACAAAAAAAAATGCTTTCAATACATATACATGTGAAACAAATACCTTGTTGGCTGCTTGTCATGAAAAGAGGTCCTTGAGTCCTTTGTATAACAAAATCCCTTTGACTTGGGACAACACTTATTTTAACTTAAATTAAACTTTCAGAGCCTCGTTAGGCGTCTGCTCATCATCAGCCCATACCTGACGACGCAATGTTTCGTCATTTCCGCTAAAGTGACGCATTCTCGCGCCTTACATTTAAAGAGACATAAATGAATTTATATAACATTACCTCAAATACTAATTTTTGCATTTTACCTCTAATAAATGAAGACATGAAATTAAGGATTTAATTATAAATGAAATAGCATGAAACAAATGCATAAAGTATGCATAACAGCAACTACAATGCATAATTACAGGCATTTAAAGTTCCTTTACACTCATGATGACATTATTATAACAAGGTAGCAAATTACAGCTCTTTTACATTTCAACACACCAGATATGTTTTGGTAACATATAACAGACTTTCAGAGTTCGTGTGTGTGTCTGTGTGTGCATCATGCATGCATGTATATTCTCGAATGCATGTATATTCTCGAATTACGTCTGGACTAACTTCCTCATGATCATCAATATCTTTTAGCAGATCAGCCTGGTATGCCTGCAGAATAGACATAGTGTGCATAGGAGGTCTCACATATCCCCAATCCTAAAAGAACTTCATTGGCTACCAGTGTCTTATAGGATAAATTTAAAAATTTTGGTTTTAGTTTTCAGAGCTTTACATGGCCAGGCTCCCCCCTATATTAGTGACCTAATTCAGCGTTATACCCCTGTGCGTGCTCTGAGGTCTATGGATCAGAACCTGCTGACGGTTCCACGCACTCGCTACCGCACTAGAGGTGACCGATCTTTTCAGGCTGTTGCCCCTAGGTTGTGGAATGACCTTCCACCGTCTATACGCTCCTCTGATTCTGTTGATGCCTTCAAATGCAGACTAAAGACACATTTATTTGTTCAGGCTTTCAACTAGCTACTTGTGGGTTGATATGATCATGTACTGTCTATGCTTTTATTGTGTGTGTTTCATTATATAAATTATTTTTTGCTGTGAAGCACTTTGTGGCCCTATACCTGTGAAAGGTGCTATATAAATAAACTTTTACTTACTTACTTATTACAGGCATGACGCACAGCCTGACCTGTTGCCGAGTATGCTTTACCCATCAGAGAAGAAGTTAATGATGACGCTGACTCGGAAGAGAGATAGCTTGTGAGCGTCTCTTCAGCCCGAGGCACCGTCACATAACCATAATCAGCAGCACCTAACACATTACTAGTTAGATGTCCTGGGATTAAATACTCTGAATGAAGCCCGTCTATTCCACGATCTCCACTCCTCAGTGTGGAGATCGGGAAAGAACGGTAGTCCCCGACGTGGAGGTAGTATTGTAGATGATAAAAATCTTTCATCAAGCAAACTCTTCTTTGAAACACTCTCTGATTCATTGGCTGGCTATTCAACATTTAATCTAGCTACAGCACGAGATAAAACCTCCAAAAGCTCCTCATCACCGGAGGTATGAGCTGGCGAAGACTCATAATCCCCCATATCAACACTGATGACATCCAGTTCCTCAGAACTGGATAGTCTAAGCATTGGTGCCTCGACCTGGAAAGGAGAAGTCATAGCGCGGGCTCCTTCCTGGGCAGAGGCACTGGATCCAGCAGGTAAGGGCTGAGAAAGGGCGGGGCCCGTCTCAAGCCCCGCTACTAGATCCATATGCGATCCCCAAGGTGAAAGCCACCGCTGTGCCTCTGCGACAGCGGGACCCGCACCTCGGGGAGCACGAACTGAACCATCCTCCTCAAAGAACACCCGGCGGGAGCGGAGCATTTTCATAGATAGCGTCATACAATGCTCACAGTCAGCTCCCTCAAGAACTGACTGGGCATGCTCCTCTCCAAGACAAGCCACACAAAGCTGATGTGTGTCCCCACCCGTGAGAAAACGAGGGCAAGGAACAACACAACGCTTAAACTCTTGATTCGCCATAATAATGAAAATGATATAGTGTGCTTGACAGACAACAATAAATAGACAAGGACAGAGTACAGAGATCGCTTGCTGAAGGCAACAGAAGCCTTCTGATTTCAAGGGTGCTATATACGTAGTTTCCTGGTCTATGACGTCAAGTCAAGTCACATTTATTTATATAGCGCTTTTCACAATACAGATTGTATCAAAGCAGCTTCACAGTGATAACATGAAAGTAGTACAACACAGATCAATAATATTGCTTAACACTAAATAACCCCAACTGAGCAAGCCAAAAGGAAGGCGACAGTGGCAAGGAACCAAAACTCCATCAGATTGGATGGAGAAAAAACCTTGGGAGAACCCAGGCTCAGTCGGGGGCCAGTTCTCCTCTGGCCTACATTCATATCGTTTATATATAAATATTAAATATAAATATTGTTTATGTATAAAACGGCGCCATAACATATCGCAGGCGTTGAGTCGTCTCTTCACAGGCGTTGGTCTTCTCATCACAGACGTTGGGGCATCCGAAATCCCCGTGAGAGGCTGGAGACAAAACTGGACCTGACGAACGCCATTTTTCTCGGGACAAGTGTCCCGAGATAACAGCAGAAAGGCAGATGGGAAATAATTAGCATAGCTGATGTTCATAATGATTTCCATTATACGGGAGTCGGTGTTAGAAACCACTATCTCACAGACTCTCCATAACCTGAACTCTCCGCAACCCAACCATACGCGCCGACCCGTTTGACTAAGGCTGTCGAGCCCCACTGTCGCGGAAATGCGTTTCAGTGGCAAACGGTTCCGTATGGCATAACAGAGGACTAATAGGTAAGCATTATGTGAATGCTTGACTAAAGAGATGCGTCTTTAATCTAGTTTTAAACTGTGTCAGCGAGTCAGAGCCTCGTGACGTCACACAACGTCCTTCTCTCTCATTGGACTGATTGTACAGAGGCTTCACGACGTAATCACGCAGAGCGTTCCCACCGCGTCTCAACGCAGCGTCTCGTTCCCTTGAAAGGGAACCTCCAAATTCAGGTATGATTGGGAAACATGAGATTGCAAAAACTGACAAACTGCTCTCCAAATAAAAACTGATTTCTCAATAAAGCTAAGCAATGAAGGACTGCAAAACCATATTTGTGCATGTGTGTGTGTGTGTGTGTGTGTGTGTGTGTGTGTGTGTAGGGCAACATATGCAATTAAAATCAATAGAATGCTGTCTTATACTGTAAACATGTTTTGTTGGTGATTCAGTAACATTAAATAGTTTTAATGTTATATTTAATGTTCTATTTTCATTGTATAACTTGTCATATAATGGTATTTATGTCATATTTATTAAACAAACTGATCCACTTATAATACACTAAATGGCATTAACCACTATGATTTATATGCCTTGTTTTAGAACATGATGACCCACACAAAACAATTGCAAAGAGAAGTTCCTCTATTAATGCTTTCCATGTTATTGACAAACTGTAGATTGATTTTGACCAATAGCAGAAAATGAGAAAGAGACTTGAGAAATGAGAAGCACATTACTCTTGCAGATTTGTATACCACAAGACTTGTCAT